ACCTGCCCCGGGTGATTATGATGGAGAATTTGGTAGAATAAAGATTGGCATGGGAAACCGAAGTACTCGGAGAAAACCTGCCCCAGCGCCACTTTGTCCACCACAAATCCCACTTGACCACACCCGGGATCGAACACGGGCCGCCGCGTTGAGAAGCCAGCGACTAACCGCTTGAGTTATGACGCGGCAAAGTTTGTGTAGTTGTACAGTTGTACAGTTGTGCTCTACATTCCTGAGCGTTCCTGAGCCATGCGTTCATCTATCGCCTACAGCCTCTGTCTGTCAGTAACGCTATGCTGTAAGTTAATTTGAATGTTTGAGTAGTATTTATGTTATGTGGGGTTCTGTTTGATGAGTATGCGGGTTTCATTAATATGGCACGGTGGCATAAAGTTGACATAGTGAAATATGTGTCCATAAAGATTGATTTATGTAGTAGATGACGTGCTGATATAGCGTAATTATGGCCTTGAAGGTAGAGATCTGCATATACAAGTCATAAAAGGACACGTAATTCATTCGCAGATTGGAGAGTGTGATAGAGAGATGCAGAGATCTAGAGTTCGAGACCAGTCCGAGATTCAGACAAATGCAGTTGTATTTAGGTACATGGTTTCCATAAATTCCTGAAAGTTACTAAAAGCTGGTACAGCCTTTTTTTTTTTTTTTGCTCATCTATATGTGAGAAATAACCGTCTCTGTAGTCTAGTGGTCAGCGTTCCTGGCTAAAGATGAAGAGGTCCGGGTTCGAATTCCCGGCGCTACCAGATTTTCTGAGAAGTAGTGGGTCTCGAACGGGGTCCACTCAGCCTCGTGAGGATAACTGAGGAGCTACTTAAATGTGAAAAGTCGCGGCTCCGGTCTAGAAAAGGGAGAATAACGGTCACGGTGATTCGTTGCGCTGGAAACGCGATACCCTCTATCCGCTAAAGCTGGCACTAACTTCGCCGAGAAGCGACGGTCGCTCGGTCGGTATAGTTCACTTTCGGATTACAGGCCACGGAGTTTGTGTTTTGTTTGTTTTGTATGTGAGAAAATGAAAAAAAAAACCATTAGTTTAAATTTAAATTTCGATGCGTTTTGACTCATGCAGAATATCGCGGTTATCTGAGCGTCTTGCGTCATACAGAGATTCGAGTACTTTCTCTTGTTTTCTTCATGTATCATGTTTTTCATGTAATGAGCTGCGCGCATGGAAATATAGCGGAACCAGGTCCCGTGACAGCAGTGACCAGTTGTGACCACTACTAGCGGGCTGTCAGGGTACTGCTCAAACAGGTACCGCGTCACGCATCTACTGAAATGTGTGAATGCCCGTTATGTTGGAAAACATCTGGTTTAACGGGCCAGCAGTTCATTTTGTACAAAATATTAGCGTAATTGTCACACCTGTTAGACGATCTTGTAAGAAGATTTCATTGGTCTGCAGGATCCAATGAAGTGTTCACTAGCCATACCACTCCCCATATTTGCAGAGGAACTATCTTCGCAATTACATTTTACCGCTTCTCCATGCCCCGAGGTTCAGGCTCTTGAAGTCACAGGATGTGGATTTAGTCCTTTGTTGTGTGTTTTCAAAACGGGACATGGAGACGGGCATATACAGCACTAACAAGTGAACTGCGCATTCTTGCAGGACTGTTGATCTAGCGACAGCGCTCTAGTCTTCCGTTTGGGAGGTTTTCAGTTCGAATCTAGGCCGGAGAGCCATTGTGTTTTTCTTAGTTTCTACAAGCCGGAAGGTCGCTAATTCGATTCCCGATTAGCATTTTTGATTTTTCAATTGTACTAATCCTTCCAGCCGCACTATGGCCCTTAAGTCGACTCAGCCTCCAACAGAAATGAGAAGCAGAAATCTTTCTGGGGCTTAAAGGACGGCCGGCGCGTAAGGCTCACAAACTCACCGCCATGTGTGAGCCGATTATCTAGAAAATGTTGTAAACTCGATGTCTCACAACCCTGTGGGCCTTCACGGCCTTCATTTTTTTTCTTGGCACTACAGCCCCAGTGGGCCTAGGCCTACCTCCATGAACTTCTCCGTTCACTTCGGTTTTTCTAGATCTTACACATTCGGTAGGACTCCTTGGGCGGGTAATCAGCTCGTCGCAAGGCCTCTACCTGTACACAAACACAGAAAAATGCACACATAAACTAAAGATCCATGCCCTGAGTAGGATTCGAACCCACGATCCCGGTTTCCAAATGAGCGAAGACAGTACATGCCTTCACGGCCTTCTACCTTATATATTACTAACTAACTAACCAATCCTCCACATTCAGTCGCACTGCATGTTCAGTAGACAGCGACGCAGCCGTAAATAAGCCACTGCCGATTAATATCACCGGCTTGACATCCCTCTTTAGGAAGTTGCCGCCTGCCTATTCGCGTTGCTATTGAAAAAAAATATATATAGCAAAAGATGCTCATCCACAGAGCCTGAATTTAAAACGAAATTTTCACTGTTAATTCAACAACGAAGAGCTAGAGCAATAAGAATGAGCAAACTTCAATTTCGACATACGTGTATACATGCCTGCTTGCGCATGCGTATGAAAAGTGCAGGAAACACCCATAGCTCCACAATCGTTAATAATTTAACCCATATACTTAGGGCATTTCTGACCCCAGAAATAAGATCCTAAAATGCTGCTATACAGTCACGGGGCACCCTTGTTCTCATATATCTCACGCATTCCCTTATGAGGCTTCACGTACCCCATTTCAGAACAACTGTTTCGCGTTGTCCCCAAGCTGCAACCGTCAGAGAAGATGGGAACAAATGGCACAGCCGGAAGTACTTTATACAACACACACACACACAACAATGTCCATACATAAATACGGTACACACGTGCAGACATATAAAATATAGCTAAAATAGAGGTAAAATTAAAGTATTCACCCCATACAGTTGTGATTCCTTTGATTTTGGTGAATGCCAGATAAAATCCGTAGATCGCTGCCAAATGCACATAAAGGAATAAGATGACATTTTTCCACACGATCAGGCTCCAGAATTTGCTGTTGCTAGACTCTGCGGTCTCATTAATTGCATATTTCTGGTCTGTCCCTTTTCGAATATATGATGTTGGATCTCGTAGGCTTTGGGTCTCTGTTGTAACGATTGTGGTACCCATGACATTCAGTATCCTGTCAACAATCAAACATGTTATCATTCAAATGTATTACGTTGGTTTCAGCTTTCAGGCCTTACAGATGAAAGGAGCAACTTCGTTAAAATCGAACTTTTTTCAGCATATACAAGTCTCTACTCCGCCAAGTACTGGCTCCTAACCATCTCCTTCATGTAGAGTGACTGATTTAACAGCCACTAATTCGACATGTCGCTCACATAGAGGGATTCTTTTGGTTCTTAGAAGAAAGTGCAACTGCTTTCTACGCACGACTAAATTACCGTTATTTGTAACAGGTGCCATGTGCTGTCTTGTATTTAGGAATCTAATTTTTTAATGATGTTTACGTATGCTCCCCCCTTCGAAAGATTTAAGAAAGTTTCATGACAATTGTGCAAGCATGAGCGGAAATTCATGAAGATTATAGACCTATCTTGGGCCGTTTCAATGCCAGATGTGTCAGATATTATTTTTAACTTTTAGTTACTTTAAAATTATGTATGTAAACGATGGGGCACGGATTCAAGTCCCGATGAGGACATTGGATTTTTTTCAATTGACCTAATCCTTCTAGTTGCACTATGGCCCTGGGGTTGACTCAGCCTCTAACAGAAATGAGTACCAGGAATATTCTTGGGGTAAAGGGCAGCCGGCGCGTAGGGCTGACAACCTTGCCGCCATCTATGAGCCGATTGTCTAGAAAATGTGGGAACCTCAACATTTCACAACCCTGTGGGCCTCCACGGCTTGTTACAAGGGTAACTTTACTTTACTTTGTATGTAAAAGGTAACAAAGGTAAAGTTGTCCCTGTGCTTAAGTAATTAAGCACTACACCATGAAGGCATATGCTGTACTGGATATAGAGACCCACACTTTATTGACCTCAACACTAGCTGGAGGTGTGTGGTCAGCTTCATGCCCCGGTACACATTGGATAGGATGTTGGGTCCGGATGACGTGGAGAAGAGAAATTTCTTGACCCTATCGGGACGCGAACTCCGACCCCTCACTCGAAAATTGTGTATATAGATATTTTAATTCAAATCTCTCTGCAGCATTACAAACTTCAAGGAGAAGTTCGTCTCTTCAGAGAAGATTTGAATAGAGAGCTTAAGAGTTAAGGTCAGGGGCCACTCCATCGCTCAGACTGAAGTATGAGGACACACACGGGATGATTTTCCAATACAGACAGAATTATTTCATTAACTGAAATTTGAGTTCCTAGTGGCGATGAAGGGAACAATTTTGTTAGATTTATTATAATTTTCAGAATTGTAGTTATGAGTCGCATTACTAAATATAACTTTAGTTTATTCTTTGTAACTCTCGATTAATATATTTGTTACAATCCACTTTCCCTGTAGATTATATACTCCAATCTGTTTTGTATAGGCTTAAGTTTTGGGAAGGACCTGCATGTACTTCATTTCCTGTATATTTTTGTATTAGAGCAAATTTCCTAATTATACAATTTAGTGATGGTTATTTGTGTACAGTTTGTCCTAGCGTAGGTTCCAACTATCTCAGAATTATTGGAAATTAAAGCATCAAGGTAGGAAAATTGAAGAGAACTGCATAATAAAGAGCTTGTACTCTTCTTCAAGTATAATTAGAATGATGAAGTCAAGGAGGATGAGGTGGGCAGGGCATGTAGCACGAATGGGGGATACGAGGAGTGCATAAAGGATATTGGTGGGAAAGTCAGGAGGGAAGAGACCACTGGGAAGACCAAGGCGTAGGTGGGTGGACAATATTAAAATGGATATATGAGACAAACTCCGTCTTAAGTGCAACAATTTAATTGTAGTAATTGTAGCAATGTAATTGCACACGTATTAAAGATAGGCAGCGGCACACGCACAGAGAGCCTACACAGAACAATACCTGAACAGCGATAAAACAAGAAGTGGCCGCTGCAGCACTATAGACATAGGGCGAGTACCCCGAGAAATTTTAATTTTTAAAATTTGGAAAAAGAAAAAGAATTTAAAGATATTTTAATTTGAATTGAAGTTTTAAAAAGTGCCAATTTTGGAAAACAAATTGACGCGTGTAGGTTAACAAAGATTTTATACATACATACAATTGAAAAGCCTTGTGATTTTAAATTTTAAACTACGAGCAGTGTAGCAGCTACGTAAGAATACACACCTGATGATGGCCATTTAGCACCGAAACATGTAGTGTGGAGGAAGGGAAGAAGAAGGAACTACAATTAAATTGTTGCACTTAAGACGGAGTTCGTCTCATATATTGTGTGAATGTAACAGGATGCTTAAATATAATATTAAAATGGATCTTAGAGAGATAGGATGGGATGATATGCATTAGATTGATCTGGTTCAGGATAGGGACCAGTGGAGGGTTCTTGTGAACACGGTAATTAACATTCGGGTTCAATAAAATTGTGGGAAATTCTTGAGTAGCTGCAGAATTGGCGACTCATCAAGAAAGGCTCAGCTCCATGAGTAAGTAAGTAAGGTACGGAAATTAGTAGTTCAAGACTGTAATACGTCTTGCAGTTAAGATGAAATTCATAAACAAATAATGAAAATCTCTCAGTTGGTATAACAATTATCAGAAGAGGGTAAATGTGCAAGGAACGCGATGATACTGTAAATCGTCATGAAAAATAAACAGGGCATGGCTCGCCCTCAGGTTGCAATTGCAGAAATTTGTCTCCAGACTTGCTAATATACTAACTAAGAAGTCGCGGAGAACCGAAAAGAATGGGTTTCTACCATGAAAATTCGTTTGGATCTAGTGATTCCTAGCCATAAAAATTCATCGTATTAATCGTTTGAATTTTATGTAGGTAGAGGAATCCTTTGGCCGGTCACGGTAGCCGAGCGGTCTAAGGCATGCACTGTCTTCGCTCGCTCGGAAGCCGGGATCGTGGGTTCGAATCCCACTCAAGGCATGGATGTTTGTGTGTGTGTTTTCTGTGTTTGTCTACAGGTAGAGACCTTGCGACGAGCTGATCACTCGCCCAAGGAGTCCTACCGTCTGTGTAAGATCTAGAAAAACCGAAGTGAACGGAAGTTCATGGAGGTAAGCCTAGGCAGACTGGGGCTGTAGTGCCAAGGGGGGGAGGGGGGGTAATGCTTTGGGACGACCTAAGCGGTAGGAAATGAACATGCGAATTTGAATTGGAATGGAAGGAATTTGCACAGACCTGGTTCACTGAAAACGGTGCATGTAACGGGACTACTGGAGAAGGTAGGCACTGAAACAGTGGACAAATATGCTCTTTTATATGGACATGGAAGTGGGGTGTTTTGTATGGGAGTGAATCTGTGTCCTTCACTGCAGAAGTACGTACGCTTAGGCCGTGACAAAGTGTACTGAGGGGAGTAGTTGGACCTCACAGGAGGCTCGGGGAAACTGTATGAGGAGTTTAACAACTTGTACTTGTGGCTTATTATTAGGATTAAACCAAGGAGTTTGGAATTGGTGCGACATGTGACATGCACAAGAGAGCACAAGGTATACGAGTACACCGTACACGCGGTAGCGTTGTTGGTCGAGGCACTATGCTACAAGCCGGAAGGTAGCTGGTATAATTCCCGATGTCGTCATTAGATTTTTCAATTGCCCTAACACTTCCAGCCGCACTATGGTCCTGGGGTCGACTCATCCTTTAACAGAAATGAGTACCACGAATCTTCCTGCGGGTAAAGGGTTGCTGGCGCGTAAGGCTGACAACCTCACCGCCATCTGTGGGTAGATTTTCTAGAATACGTGAGAGCCTTGATGTCTCACAACCCTCTGGGTCTCCAGTATCTTATAACTGTGAAACCGAGGCATAGACAGAAGGAAAATATTACAAAGGATGGAATGGAAGACCGTGAACTGGGTTTGTCGGGCTTAGGATCTGGACAATTAGCTAGATGTTGTGAACACGCCGTAGTAACGTAAAGATTTATCTTCATATCGAGCGAAACAAGTAAGAACGTTATCCACATCACCGAGCAAACTTGCGAAGACTTCAGTAATACTTGACAGAAGAGTGAGAACCGTGTTGCCAGTTGTTCACATTAAGAATCGATTGTTGCTTCCATATGGTTGAATATGTTCTGAAATGATGTGGCCACTGGCAGCGTGTCTCTTATTTCCGAGCAGTAAAAGTACATGATTACCACTGAATGGCTCATTTTTAAATTCAGGCAAATATATTAGGAACCTTTCGGCTTATCACCAGGCCCACGGTTCTGCTGCTTGTCTATCGTCTTTTCCTATTAATGGAAAGACAGGTATAGTTTCTTGAGGAAGTGAATTTTTAGTTTTACCAATTTAAAGGAAATGGTTTGTCATAATTCTTATCAAAAATATTTAGAGTGGTGAATAAATTTTGTTTCCGTAACTCACCAGTTAGTGGCACATAGACCAACTACCAATGAAATGCCGCGCCATAGCTGAAGCGGTTAGTCTCTGGCTTCCCACCACGGCGGCCCGGGTTCGATCCCGGGTCTGGTCTAGTGGGATTTATGGTGTACAAAGTGACGCTGGGGCGGGTTTTCTCCGAGTACTTCGGTTTCACCTGCCAATCTTCATTCCACCAAATTCTTCATCATCGTAATCACCCGGGGCATGTACAATAAGCCAATCAGTGGCCACCGTGTTGAGTGGACCCAACTGGATTCCACCCTCCACTAAGCGAATTTAAGAAAACTAATTATTAACTCCATATAGCAGAGTTCTTGAGAAAATGATAGTTGCTCTGCTGCCCTTTAATCAAACGTTGGGCTCTGCTTGAATTAGAACAGTACTTAATAGTAATAATTACCCACAAACACCATAGAGCAAATATCGAATAATACGTACAAGGAAATTTGGACCACGTTTACGTTTTTCTGACCCGAAACTAGAACAATTAGTAAATTATTTAAGAATACTGAAGTTGGTATCTCATTTATAACCAGGAACAATATCAAGCGCTTATTGAGAATACATGAACATACAAATGATAATGTTAACTTAAGTGGAGTTTACCAATTACAGTGTTCAAGATGTCCACAGAAATGTGTACGACAAACTGGGAGTACATTCAAAATTAGATTTAAAGAACACATAAGAGACATAAAGAACGGTGGACAAAATTCCAAATTCGCCCAGCACATAGTAGACACTATCCACAAATATCGAACAGTAGATCAAGCTATGGACATTTTGTTCATCGGAAAGAAGAGACGAATGTTGGATACTCATGAAAGATATCATATATATGAAATCAGCAAGCAAAACATCCAGTTGAACGACAATTTTAACGAAATATTTAATCCAATATTCGACACAATAATTGCAACCTACCAAATTTAAACACTACCTTACCCCCATCCTACATCCACCACACCACACCCCAACCTCACCCCCCCTCACCCACACAGCATTCCATAACAACATACGTCCCAATCAGTTGTACTCTATCTCTCCGTCAGATCGGACATTTACAGAACCGAGTCGCCCGTCAAATAGTAAGTAAGCTGCATAACCGTAATAACTCAATCA